GAACTTTGTGGTAAAATTTCATAAAGATCCATACACTTATACTCAAGTTATTGTCTGGAAACTAAATGTCTTCGGACGACGAAGGTGACGACGACGACATCGCCATAACACTATACGGCCGCAAAAATTTTGCGGTCGTATAAAAATATGGTCAAAGTCTCACAACTCTCGTAAAAATGGTCAAATCTACTCCATATATCTTTTAAATATAAATTTACAGTTGGTGTTAAACATTACACCATGCTCAAATTGAAAGTACCACATAAAATAAATTATACAGTCTCTGAGCAACCTCATAAATGACATCTTGATTGATCAGTACTGCAACAAGAGTGCACACGTTGAAATGTCTCGCCTGCTTTACTGACCATTGATTATATGTTGATAGTCCTAAATATAAAGTTTCACATAAACTTAAGATGATCCAAGAAAATGAGGTAAAGGTCAGATAAACCAAGCCAGAAATACATGTACACCTTACAATCATTCCATACACCGAATATAGTTGACTTATTGCTTATAGTATACACGAAACAGACCAAACCATGAAAACTTTATATTGACCAATGAACCATGAAAATGAGGTCAAGGTCAGATAAACCCTGTCAGACAGACATGTACACATTACAATCATTCCATGGATCAAATATAGTTGACCTATTGCATATAGTATCTAAGAAACAAACTTTTTTTCCGTTTGAATGGTTTTACACTAGTAATTTGTTGGGGCCCTTTATAGCTTGCTGTTCGGTGTGAGCCAATGCTCCGTGTTGAAGGCCGTACCTTGACCTATAATGGTTTACTTTTATAAATTGTAACTTGGATGGAGAGTTGTCTCATTGGCACTCATACCACATCTTCCTATATCTATTAACCAGGAAAACTTAAAGGGGCACTAGCTGTCAAATTAATGTTCACTGATTTGACTCAAATTCTCATATTTGATTTATAACCATGTAAAACATTTATCCAAATTATAAAAAGTCTAAAATAAACAATTTACCAGGCATGGGCTCGATAATATGTAGCTTCGTTTCGTGTGTATTTTAGTCTTGACGCCATCTAATTAACTATCGAGTTGACCTCCGAAGGTCATATAAGCGATATAAACATAAATATAGATATAAATAGAAAAATAACTCGTGTAATTGGATTTTTCAAGGTCTGTTTAATTTCATATTAGGTCCAAGGACACAGTTATCGTCCTTTGGTTTTCGTTGACAACGAATATAGTCCCTAGTGTGAACAGTGTATAACTTGCATTTTTTTTTGATACACTTTCCCAATTTATTTCTTGATATTTTATGCATGAAATATTAAGTAAGGGGATGAAATTACATGTTAAAAAAATTTGGGTGCTGAATCTTTATGTTAAGTAGTGATTTGGTCCAGTTAAAAAAGGTCAAAAATTAGAATGTCTGAAGCTGTCAAACTGAATTTTAGCCCCCCTTAACACAGAATTGTCAATATTTTGAGTTAGAGCTGGTAGAAGTTTCTATAATTTTGATATTATTTGTATCAATAGTAGTACACTACACTGTAAAAATCTTTTTGAGATAGAGCAGGTGCGATTTTTTTAATTTGAATTTACTGTCTAAAAGAAATGCACTACGAAATAACTGTGTTCTCGGGCCATTATAGATTAAAAATATATGTTAATCATCGTTTTTACCTGTATAAGAATGATTTTTTGTGGATCGAATCAGTCAATCAAATGATTTACCTTTGTTTCACTTTCAATGTTGACATTCTTTTCCTTTAAATAACCGAACACGCACACTTTGTGCGTTATTCATCTCTAGCTAAGGGGTTAAATCAAAGTTCACATGAATACGGATTCAATGAGGTCGAATATTCACTTGCAAGTGAATAATTCATCATCAATGTTTTTTAGCTTAATTTGACAAAATTGAACCATATTGGCTACAAAATTATTATTTCACTATTTCACTTTCATTAATGATTGGACAAAAAAAAATCATACTTTAGATTTTTTTATATATCTCGTAGCTAGTGCCCCTTTAACATTGACCAATGAACCATGAAAATGAGGTCAAGGTCAGACGATACCTACCAGACAAACATGTACACCTTACAATCATTCCATACACCAAATAAAGTTGACCTATTGCTTATAGTATCCGAGATATGGTCTTGACCACGAAAACTTAACCTTGTTCCCAGGTCCATAAAATCAGGTCGAGGTCAAGTGAAAACTGTCTAACAGGCATGCGTACGCACATACCAAATATAGTTCTCATATTACTCATATTAAGAAATTAACATTACAAACAATCTTAAAATTTTTTTCAAGTAATCACTGAACCATGAACCATGAAAATGAGATCAAGGATAATGAATATATGACAGACGGAAACTTCATAACATAAGGCATCTATATACAAAGTATGAAGCATCCAGGTATTCTACCTTCTGAAATGTTAAGCTTTTAAGTAGTTAGTTAACGCCACCGCCGCCGCCACCGCCGGATCACTATCCCTATGTCTCACTTTCTGCGACAGAAGTCGCAGGCTCGACAAAAAACTATAGAGTTCCCATAATGCAAAACTAGTTCTATTCTATAGAATACATATCGTCATGTTAGATGGTCCATATCAACACTTACACCCCAGTTCTATAGTTATACTTCATAGTTTCTGTTTCTGAAACAAGTGTAAATTGAATAGATCTATTGTAACGAAGAACAATGGATTTTGACCACAGGGTGTGACGAGCGGGGTTTCTGGAAACCCCTGCTTCTACATCCCGAAAACACAGTCCATTTTTATTCATAACAATAGAAATTGATTATTTTTTTTAAAAAGCATGAACAAAAGAAATTACTAATAGTGTTCAATACAAGTTGTTTCAAGATATTAAAAAAAAAACCACATTTTAGGAAATTCAATTTTTCTTAAAAATTGTTTCGATATTTGAAATTCAAATAGCGAAAAAAGTATTAAGCATCTATTTTGAATAAAAAAAAAATCCTTTAAATACTCCTTTGCTTGAAAATAAAACTTTTGATCCCCAGGGGTGGATTCAGCCACTTTTAAGAAGGGGGGGGGGGGGGGTCCCAACCCAGGTTAAAAAGGGGGGTTCCAACCATGTTTCCCCATTCAAATGCATTGATCGTCACAAAAAGGGGAGGTTCCAACCCCCAGAGCCCTCCCCCCTAGATCCGCCAATGATCCTAGCTGTCATATGTCTCTAATATTAAGCATTGATCTTTAAATAAACAGAGATTCTAACTCCCGGACCTCCATCCCTGGATTGCCTCACAAAAAAGGGAGTTCCTAAATATTCGATCTGTATTTTTGTATGTTGAGCGTGTCCGATCCTCAGATTTCTAATCCAGACACACCTATCCGCAGTATGTCCGAATATGAATGTTTGTTTATACTTGAAAATAGAGGGGGGTTATAAAACCGTAATATATAAAATACATTTATGATTACCTTCATCAAACTGATACAGGTAAGTACTTTGAGTTATAATATTGCCTTTATCTTTAGTCTCTTCTACCATGTCTACTATATCCAACGCTTGACTCAAAATGTCGTCCGTCTTATACCCGTCCATATTGACAACTACATACAAGGAGCATGATGTATTTTTGTAATAAGAATGCACGAAACGGCCAACCTTGACCTGCTGATCCATATTAGCACAAGGATTTAACGGGAATATGCAAAACAGCAACTTTGACATTTGTAAAACCTACTCACTTGTCAAAGTTTGAACGAAGAGAGCCAAAGTAAGGGTACTAGTGGGGTTTCATGTTAAATAACATTCTTATAAATCATGGTTTGATATTGTAAATAAATAAGATATCCATTCTTTTTCATTTAGTAATCAATGTTCAAGAAATATAGGGTTTAGCATGGGGTGTAAGTTAGTTATACACCTCGGGATACGGCGTGTCTGGATAAGAAACCCCTCCGGTCTCCGGCCGTCGGGGTTTCTTATCCAGACACACCTATCCCTCGGTGTATAACTATTACTGAATGGATTTATTGCTAGGAATGCACTAGGACAAATTTGGATCAATTCGGTGATTAAGAAAATTATATTCATGAGGATTTCTTAGACGTCAATGTCAATATATATGCTTATTTTCTTTTTGCTCTTGATGTCTCTGAACTCCTCATTTAAATTGCAACTTCTGAGGATACAACTTTTTAAATGGTTGAGAAACTTGTCTATCCCTTAGCAACCATAATTATGATGATCAAGCTTATAATGATTTGTTTTGGTGAACTTATTTTGTTGATTTCTTTTTTGACGTTAACCCCAAATCTCGTTTTATTCATACCGAAAAACAAATAGTTTTAAAGGGGCATAAGCTACGAGATATAAAAAAAAAAAGATTTTTTTTTGTTCAATCATTAATGAAAGTGAAATAGTGAAATAATAATTCGCTTTAAGCAGCCAATTTGGTTCAATTTTGTCAAAATAAGTTAAGAAACATCGCTGATGAATTGTTCACTTGCAAGTGAATAATTCGACCTCATTGAATTCGTATTCATGTGACCTTCAATTTAACCCTTTACCTGGAGATGGGTTACGCAACGTATTCAGCTATTAAAAAGAAAAGAATGTCAACATTGAAAGTGAAACAAGGATGAACCATTTGGTTGACTGGTTCGATCCACAAAAAATCATTCTTATACAGGTAAAACGATGATAAACATATTTTTTTAACCTTCAATATGAAATCAAACAGACCTAGAAAAATCCAATTGCACGTGTTTCCTATCTATTTATATTTATGTTTACATCGGGTTATATGACCGTCGGCAGTCTTCGGGGGTCGTCTCGGTGATTAATTAGATGACGTTTAGACAAAAATACACATGAAATGTTGATGCATATTATCGAGTCCATGCTTCATTAATTGCTTATTTTAGACTTTTTGTAATTTGGATATACGTTTTATTATGTTATAAATCAAATACGAGAATTTGAGTCAAATAGGTGAACATGAATTTGACAGCTAATGCCCGTTTAAAGCATATTTATTTACAATCTGACAGAAACAACTACTAAGCCAGACACTGTCTCTACTACTATTGAAAAAGATATCTCTTTCCTCGTTGAACTGAAATGTTTCCATCAAGAAATAATAATTTCATATATTTTGGCATTGTCACTACTGTCTTCAGATGTGACACATCCTACATAAGTATGTCCAGCTTCTGTACTACAGAAAGAGCGTGGGTATATTATTCCTACTTTTTTTGTGTTACGCCATCCAATATAATTTCCTGAATTATTTAGAAAATATAAAATGCTATGGGTCAAGTTGGAAATGATAATATTGTCAGATGGAGTAGTGAATACACGCAATGGTTGGAAAAGAATTTCGTCTGTGTTAACTTCTGAATTGCCACTGAAGGTATTCAGAACATCCCCATCCTCACTCAAAATTACCACTCTGCCACTGTGATCTGCAGATAACTTGTTCACTACAAAGATATTACCATTCTTTGTTCTGGTTATGCTGAGAACATGTGAAAATATAGGCCTGCCTTGTCTGTCATATTCAAATATAGTTTCATGTTTCCCACTTCCATCCATTACGGTCACAACCCGTCTTCCAACAGCTGGATAAACTAATTTCCCATTAAAAGCACTAACAGTGACTTTTCCATCTTGGTTCACATAAACAGCTGATAAATGTAAACCCTTTACCTCATACTTAGTTTTGGTCACTTCACCTGTTTGGTCACTTATCTGCTTAAGTATAGATCCACCATCAGCCAAAAGGAGATCTTTTGATGGAGTACATGCTATATCCCAGATGTTAATTTCTTTTTGATTAATTATCTTCAATCTCCTCCCTTCTATTTCAACTTTTTGCAGTACTTTAAAGTTTGTAATCCACAATGTACCTTCAGAACAGGCTATCATTGAAAAAACGTCTGAGATTTCAGTGTCAAATCGTTTAAAAGCTTTAATTTCACCCTTAGTAGAAACATTTTCTAGTGAACCTATGTTATAAGCAGTTAATTGTCCAGGAAGAAATGTTGGAATAGAATCAAACTTTGTGCCAGGCGATGTGACAGTTTTCTCTATTGATTTTGATAACCCCAAACCATCCACAAAGACTTTTTTGGCATCAATGGATTGGATGATACCATCAACCTCAGACATTTTAGATGCCAGACTACTAATGAGGAGGGACACATCTTTTTCTTCTTTTTCAGTACACCGATGTAAGTCTTCCCACTTTTTAATAAGTTCAGTCTCCATTGTTTTAGTATGTTGATCCACTTTCTTCTTAAGCTGGATATTCTGATCCTTGATTTTCTTCAAAGTGTTTTCAAATTTGGAAAGTTCGGCATTATTGACATCCTTCACTTCTGCTTTTCTTTTTTCCAATTCATCTATATAAGTTCCGATATTCTTTCCTTTTGTCTTTAATTTGCCTATCAGGATTTCATATCCCTCTCTGATGGTTACAAAACCATGGCCATTATGGGTTTCAGAGATGCATAGTGGACATACTAAACAGTCACATGTCTTGCAAAACAAAACATAATTTTGACCTGTGTGATTTTGACAACTTATATTGGAAAAATCTATTTCTTTGTCATGAAGCCCTACCTCCCGTATAGAAACAACTTTGTGGTCCTTGGCAAATTTGAATTTCACATGAATTTTCTCTTTACATTTGTCACACATAAACATGTCACAGTTTATGCACTTCCATTTGATATTAGAGTCCTCCTCACAAAGACTACAGGAAACTGGAACCTGCCCATCTCCACAGGCCATAACTAATTTGTAAAAATCTAATATGTCTGCCGGATTTTACTTCCTTGTTACTGATATATTGACCTAAATGCAGTTCATAAGTAATAGCTTTTCTAAAAAGCTAGCCGTCTCATAGCTGATGAAAGGGGAAAATGTTTTCGCTTTGTAGTTTAATTCTTTCAGAATAGCCTTGTATATAAATTGTAGTGGATTACAAAAATTATACAAGGCTAATACAATTTTTTAGATTTACCTAATTCTTTTTTTGTGAATGTCTTAAGCATCTGCGTTTGTACCTTTTTATCGATTTTCAGTTTTTTTTTCAAACAGCTATGTTGTTCGTTTACTTTTTCATCAGTTGTTTGTTTTTTTTCTTTGTGTTAAAAAAGTATGGCCGCTTCAACCTGAACATTTTTCATTCATAATAGGCATCGAAAAGTGTAGATAGTGAAACGTAGTAAAATTTAAACATGTAAGAACACAAAAACGTATATTTCCAACGGTTTCTCACATCGATCTTTTCAAAATGATCCTTAAATTGTAAAGCTTTACATAGGTATGGTCATTTTTGATGTCGTGGAAGATCTTTTCTATTCATTGTAGTTGAACTGCATTGTGGAATGCCCCACGCCTCTTTTTCTATAGTTGAATAATGAGTATCCTTACAATTAAATGGTTCTCTTTTGAGATTATTTGGTTTTATTGGACTTCTTGAATATACTTTTTTGAGAAAAAATACTCAAAAGGGCAATTTGTTATATAAGACCTATTGTAAGCGCCTGAAATTAAAAACATAGTAGTTTCGCCATTCTTTATCAAATTATAATAATGTCATTGGTTATAAAGAAGGTGATGAGTTCTGCAATGCTATTTTAGATTTCACTATGAGGCCATCCACATAATATAATCAACAAATTTGACCAAAAACGTTATTAAGCATACATGTTTGACCCTGTATCGTTTGTAATTGTTTCACTTGTACATGTCTTCACATTTATTTACTATACCATATAATGTTTGGTGTCGTACTTATCGTACTTACATTGTACCCTTCAAAGCTTAATTATCATACTGGATTGACATATTTTTTTGTGGGAGACCGTTAGTATGTTGACATATTAATGTCTTTTTGTTTTATGATCATAGTATATTTATGTTTATACTTGTTTTACAATTCTTGTAGAAAACATACAATTTAGAATAATCTTTTAAAGAAATGCCAACAGTATTTTCGTCTTTTAAATTTATAATTTTATTTTTATTTCTCTTTCTCTCATATAGCATATGTAGTATAAATAGTCAATAAACATCAAAACAAATATTAGAAGTCTGTTCCTGACATGCTCATGGTTTTAAGTAATATCTGAATTCATTTTTTGCTATTAAGATATTTTTTTACATGTATATTCACAACTATTCTATATATTAAAGCTAGACTTGGGAGGATTAAAAACTTAAAATATTGCCATGATATGTCCCTTTGTAGAAGACCGTAGGTTGAACTTTAGAAGTAAATTGTTTTGTTTGATGTTTAATTGGGTTGCTGTCTTATTTAATTATGTATACTTCACTCTCCTTTAAAATCATTCATAGAAACTATGCATTGCTTAAAATATGTTAGCATACATGCATAATTGCTTTTATCGTCGGAGAGTATTTTTTTATTCTCCTCTTATATTCCCCTTTTAATTTTGTTGGTCTTCTGTTCTTCAACGTCTGCTATCTTGATAGGAAGAGCTAGGGAGAGCCAACGTCCAACCCAGCCCAAACCCTAAAGATCTTGGGGTGTGTGAAGGGGGACACTTATTATGTAATGAGTGGTAGGGATGAGCCGCTGGAATAGGTCACTATTTTAAGCTTCATGATATTTGATGAGGTCGAGAAATTTAGGTGAAATATAAGACAAGGTTGATGATTGAATCTGAAACTAATCAGATATGGATATTTTTTACAGACTGATGCAATTAAAATCACTGCCGTAAATACTTCAGATATTTGTCAAAACTATTTATCTCCCCATGAATTAGTGTAACCATCATAGCTATATGTAGGCATACTTACTGTAAAAAATTATATGATAGCTAAAGTATTTAATTTTGTTATTCAAAATGTATGAAAAGGGTAGGGTATTGGATGTCTCAGCTGCTCACCCCTACCATAAAAAGGTCGAAGTGCCCCCGAGATAAAGATTCCCGTGTGTTTAAAAATCAATATTAATCGAAAATAACTGATTTGGATATCTCTGTTTTTCAATTTTTTTGTTGCGTTTGGATTGTCTTACAAAGTATAAATATTTATAACCTATGAAAAAAGCATCACGGTGTTTTCCTATGTTTTCATTTTCATGCAGTGGCGGATCCAGGGGGAGGGGGGGGGGGGGGGGGGAGGTTCCGGGGGTTGGAACTCTCTTTTTTTTGACGATTAATACTTTTGAATGGGGACATATGATTGGAAAATCATATAAATCTGATATATGTCATATTAACTAATGTTTTCTAGTGTTTTTGTTTCTATTATTTTCTGGTAAATATTAAATGGGTTTTGATTATTGATTTGTAAAGACATTAGATTAGACAATAGACTTTTAATTGAGGCCATAAGTAGTCAATTAAAATGCCATTATAGGCCCAAATGAAATAAAAAACCTGTGGCGCAAATGAAAAACTGCATTTTTCAAATATTTTCGCAAATGCAAAAATGCAGTATTTCATTTGTGCCACAGGGTTGTATTTCATTTGCGCTGACTATAAATACTGTTTTTGCGCCAAATATAAATACTGTTTTGCGCCAAATATACTGTTTTTTGCCAATTTACAGATAAAATATAATCTGTATCTATATCTGTATGTATGTAGCTACCAATACTAGCTTTTATACAACGAGGAGAAGGCACCGTCGATTTATTGACGGTTCGTGAGAGCAGATTTAAATCTCTCAACGCTTGTTGCGCACACAACTGTGTCCTCTAGATGGTTCCAGTTGATTATTGTGGACACAAACAATGAGTTGGTATGTTGAAGTGTTTTACTGGTGGAAATGTCAATTAAAAAGCATCTAGTATTGTTCCTCACTTGTTGTGTAATGGAAAAGGTTAAAATTATTATTAAAGCTGTATCTAGAATACGAGGCAGGTTCGTATAAGAAATGTTGTAGAGTATTCCCCCATAGGGGAAGTATGTGAGTTCATATTCATTTCTCATACAAAACTGAAATCACTTAAAGGTATAAAAATGTATGGTGTTTACATGTTCGAGGTGACAAAAATGAACATAATTCATTCGGAGACAAATAGAGGAGGTAATACGTCTGTAATTTATAGGACCTAACATTTAGGATATCTTATGTATTTAAAAACGGAGACAAATCGTATAGATGTATCCCAAAATATTTCTAAAACTTATCCGTGTTTAATGTTTTTAATTTTTGTTTATTGCTGAATGTCATTTTTGATGAATGTAATGTATGGTGCATATGTTATATTATGCTACCAAAACTATGTTGTAAAATAATTATTAATATCAATATAGATCCATTATTTACACTATTTATACCTGTGTTATTGGCGCAAATGAAATATGGTTTGTTGCGTAAATGAAAGATTTTTATTGGCGCATTAAATTGAAATGCCAATTGGGGCAAAAGAAAAGCACCGTGCAAGATTTGTATGCAGTAGTTTCTTATACGAACATATCAAATAAGTGTTTTCAATATACACTAACACTTGTTTGTGATTTTGTTACCACTCTACTTGTTGCTGCATTTAAATGTTTTCACCAAGTGGACCTACATCTGAGACATAGTATACAGTATAATAGTCCCAGACCTACATGTAAATGCAAACATTTTTCAATAATTCGTAGCCATTTTCTACTTTATTACTGTAACAGTAAAATGTTTGCTATAACTTTCAGCATACATAACAGTCTTTATACTGCACTCGTTCTATTTGAGCAGTCAAAATGCGTTGATCGTATATTTCTATGTCATATACAGTAAGTTTATAATAATACAGTCACTGACCTGATATCACTTTTCCTCATGAATATTTAAATAGAAATTGCCGAAATTATAATTAATTATTCATACGACCTATTCAACCTGTTCTTGTTTCCAATGTAAAAAACGACTCAAACTTATTTCTTTTGAAATTTTTAGAAAAAAAACATATTTCACTTGTAAATATGTTTGGTTTGCAAACTATAAATCATTATGTTTTATGCTTATTGTTGATATTTTAGTTCATTCTCAAACAAATTCGTTCACCATCGATTTCGGGTTTCAACAGGTAATGTCAGAAGTCCATTACTAGACTGTCTAGTAATGGACTTCTGGTAATGTACATTTCATTGTGTTGTATATTTCTCCGCCTGCAATAGATGAGGCCTTTTTATAAAAGGGGGAAGTTTCCAAACATTTAAATCAAATAATAACATTAAATTAACACATTAAACAACAATTGAAAATGTTTTTTTTTAGATTGCAGTATAAAGACAATAATAGTGCATTGACTTGACATATCAACGATATAAGGATTCGGCCCGAAACAGGGAAAAAGCTCGACAGAGCCTCGCATTTCCCCGTTTCTAAGCCTCATCCTTATTATACAATTATAGCCTTTGTATGAGGTCGATACGAGGTTATATCGACCTAAGAGAAGCATATTGACTGAGGACGAAGTCCGAGGTCGATATGCTTCTCTGGGTCGATATAACATCGTATTGACCTCAACCAAAGGCTACAATTGTTATATTATTAATCAACAACTATTGCATGAACAATGTAAAATTGGGGATTTCTAGAATCTATTTTTAGTAACATGCTGTATGCCCCGTGCAATATGCTGTTTTTGACCTACGAAAAGCTAAACACAACAGTATTGGCGTGCAAACTGAGCAAATACAAATGTACATGTGATCAAGTTTTAACGAATCACAAATCCTTAAAAATATTCGATTAATAATATATGTTGATTTGTCAAGTCAATGCACTATTATTGTCTATATAAAATGAGTACAGAGTGAGACATATACTACCTTCTGTTTACAGAAAGATTGAATATTGT